CAAGAGTGTGGCTCATTCACACCTTTTATATTCTAGGAGTGTCTTGGCCACCTGACTCCTTGAGTCACTCTCTTATCTCTAGTTTTGATCCACAGTAACGTGCAGGAGTAGGAACATGCACGCAGTCAGCCTTGCATTTGCAATCCTTTTCAGTTTGCAAAACTTTGTATCTGTGCTAAAGCAGCATTTCTGTGACTCTCTAGAGTTCTTCTGTCACCACCTTTCCCCCTCCACTCTCTTTTGACTGTATAATTTTGTTTGATTATTGATGTTATTTCATAAAACTGCCACAAGACTGTTATTTTTCTAATATATGTCTTTTTCCAAATTTCTTTTTTATTGGTAGAAATTGCAGTTCTTAAGACTGATAACTATGAATGCTATGAACGTTTAGTTTATGTAAATTGGATGAATTATAATAGGAAGTCTGGGGTTTTTTCATTATAAAAATAAGCCTAAAGACAGTATACTGGCACCTCATTACTCAGTACCCAGTTTACCTTAATTCACATCTTTAAAATGGGGTTTTGGATGGTCTCAATCGTCATATCAAGGCTGAAATGTTCTCATTATTCATATTATCATCTAGCAAATAAGTGAGAAGCTTCTGATTATTATCACATGGATGCTCCAGTTTATTAGTCTTTCATCTTTCTTCTAATTCATTCTTCCCTTGACAGCGCTTTAAAAGTAAAATCCAGGTATGCATGTAGATTTTCCAACACTTTGAAATACTGTCTCTCCGAAAACAGCATCTGTGTTCGTGAAGGGGTCTCTGAAAAACAGGAATGGAGCAAGTAATGTGCGTAGGTGTATGAATTTTGGCAGGTTTCCGTGGGCAGGGCATCACCTCGAGCTCCGGCGTCCAGCAGTGTCCTCTGTAACATGCCTCACCATGCTGCAAAACCTCCTTAGTAGGAAACTTTGTGCTAAGAAAAGCCTTTTTGTATTGTTCCAGTTTCTGTCGCGTTTAAGAGTGAGTGATGAGAGTGCTTCAACGAGAATTTGGGGCAGCTGAATCACTTTGAATGTAGCAATTGTGTTTTATGATTGAGGGTCATGGTTTTTTCTTTGCTAGAAGAGAGTAGTAAGACTCTATCCTGTCCTGTCATCATCAAACTCAGTATTTTGTGACTCCACAGTTCATGGCTGGTCACTGTAATATGTTTTGTACAAGATAGTTTGATTTTTGCATTCTTAATTAGAGGCAGTAGCCCAGAAAGTGCATTTGGACCAACGGTTGTAATATTAGTTTTTTTCCCTTGAAGTTCAATTCAGATCCCTCAGTTCTATAGTTAATGCATATGGATCTGTTTTATGCGTCAGAAATACAGGTTGACTGCTTATCGGGTCAGTGCTGCTGTGTAATAAACAGTACTTATCTCCTTGAAGCAACACTCTACCCTAAATAAGTTTGCCTAGGGAGTTGAGCCCAAGATAGCTTCCTTTTTTATTTTTTATTATTAATTGGATTGTGAAAAGAATCATTGAAAAAGTTTAAAATGAAAATACAGGGTGGTAGGGTGGTAGTAGTCCTTCTTTCTGAACAGCTTGGTTCTTTTTTTTTTTTTCTTCATCAGATGTGCAGGTTGTAAAACTGTGATCACATATTTCCCTAGGAGTCTGTGCTTCACCATTTCATGTTATTCTCAAAACTTTATATAGGCCCTCACTTTTATTTACTGTTTGTCACTAAAACTACAATGGAGGAATGTAATGACCTTGTTGAGTAATGTGTGATCATGTTGATCCCTGAACACTTATAGTATGGCTTCATTGTGCCCCTGTGAAAAAGTATGTGGTGGGAGGAAGGTTTATTAATTATAAAATTACTTAATTTTTCAGCATAAATAGCTTGGGGGGGGTGTCCCCCTCTTCCAAGTCTTGTAAGCATTTTCTTTTTATTTCTGAAAATTATTATGTACCAAATCTGGCACAGAAAAAAGGGCAGGGGAATTAGGATGTGGCAGTAGACACAGAAATGTTAGAAGACATAAAAATAGACAGCAAAGAGAAGGAAAATGCTTAATATTGATAAGACAGTAGTTGACCAGGTAATAGTGGTAAGGCAATACATAATGCAGCTAGAATTCAGAGTGTGGTTAACAAGAAGCAGAAATGTTAAAATACAAATGCCAGGAGCTTGGGCAGAAAATGAAGATATTTTTGAATGAGTGGTGCTATGGGGATCATGGAATGACACAAGAAAATCATAGAACGATGTTGATGACTAGGACATGGTTTTCAAATGGGAACATTCTGTTATGGAAAGATGGAAGTAAAAATATGTGCAGTGATGAGCTGTAAAACATTAAGTAACAGAATGGCTGAAATCATAGGTGGGAGCCAGATTTCTTCTAGAAAAGTTAAATAAGATTCTGGTGGAGTAGAGGGTAGGTGCTTGGTGCACATCCACCTGATCTGATTTGGAGGTGGATAATAGAAACCTTTGTCATATTGCAAGTATAAATATTTGTGGGAGTATTTTTTTATGTTACTTTCCAGCTGTAGTGATAATGCTATAAATAACTTCGTTAGTTGTCATACCCACAGCAGAGGGTTCTTTCCACTTAATGACACAGAAACTTTGTGAATTTGTCATACCAGTCAAGGAGATACGGTGACTGCGGGGGCCACCCGAGTCAGTTAATCACCTTCAGAAAAATATTTGAAGTAAGCAGAGGTCTTGTAAGTGTTGGGAAAAGATGACAAATCCATATCTTGGAAGTTGAGATGTGCAGGAATTAAAAAAAAAACCCTAAATTGCCAAAGGCTGAGGGGGAATTATTCAGCTAAGTATTTTGCCTTGCCTTCAGGAATGTGAATAGAAAGGGTCCGATGCTGAGGCAGATGGGTTTCTTGTGGTGAGGACGGGGTTATAGATAAGAGTCTATAGTTACTGTGTGAAAACTAAGAAGATACTTTGCTTGCTTCATTTCTCAGTAGAGTTGTTGACACTGCAAAGACAAGATGGTTAAATAGAATAATATTCAAATGAGAATTGCTGTATTTCCAATGAAAGCAAAACTGAAGGAGTTGATGTATTTAAATTAGGGAGTCAATAATCTTTTGTCATGGAAACCTGCTGTTTTAGGTAATGGAAATGCAAGTCTTTATCAACAAGCATCTTTAACATATTGATGAAGTTAGTGTTGGAGAATCACAGACTGTAATGGAAATGTTTACAAAAGGGAGGGGGGAAAAAAGCAAATTGAAATTCTGTAACATGACATCAGAAGGGTGTATGCCTCAGAATACGTTTGGAAGACAAGATCTGAAATGAGCTTCCCAAATATAGAACAAATGAAAAAAGTCAAGATTAAAAAAACCCAAACCAACTAACCCCTCCCCCTTCATATTCCCAATGTCAAACCAAACTGTGGATTCTGATGAAATACCTGGTATGTGGGGAAACTGGTGCTGAAAGTCAGGTTAGTAGAACGGTAAAAATAAGGAGATACCAATGGGTGGGAAACTGGCTGTGGGGAGTGTTGAAGGGTAAAATGGGGAAATTATGACACTAAGGTTGGGAATGGTCTTGTTTGTTATTTCATTAATGATCTTTGCATAAATGTTAGGAATAAGTATATGAAACTTTTATCATAGGGCATAGGAGGCATTGTCAGAAAAAGGAGGACCTGAGCATCATATAGAAAACAGCAGAGTGATAAATATGGCTTAAAAATAGATATATGAAAAATCACATAGCTGGCAGTTAATTTAGTGAACTGGGAGATGATCGGTCATAAGGAACAGAGATGGACACACACGTACTGAGTGGTTGCTGGATGGCCAGGAGCTGCTGTTACGAGTGGCACAACAGGCAGATGCAGTTCAGGGCTCATTAATTCAGCATTTCCAACTGAGAGACAAAAGTATCAGTCCAGTTGTGCTGGACCCTGATGGACCTTGTGTGGAATAACACTTGGTCTTGTTCAGGGAAGATGAGCTGAAAATGGATTAGCTTGAAAAATTACTGGAAAGGATGAAAATGAAGCCTGGTTTATGAGAAGAGACTAATAGTATAGTCTAGAATTAAGAATTGAATGGGAATTTGGTTTAAATCTAAAAATACAATAAGGAGTACTTTAATCTGAAGTTCAGTGAGTATAACCTGACAATGAGTAAACAAAAATGGAAGGATGTTTCTGGGTATTTGAGCATGGTGGTTCTGGAACAGCTTTCCAGCAGGGAAAATGAGGGTGGAAAAGTGGTGGTGACTGATCTGTTAATGAAGGGATGTGTATTGTTCTGGTGCTATCAGAGGACTGAATTTGATAATCCCAGGAAACCACACCTGAATTCTTGCATAAGTAAAGAGAAACCTCCTGGGTTATTTCACATGTGAAGATTTTGCTGCAAGTTGTTACTTACTGCTCTGGATCATGGAAGACCTGAGTACTGATGCTGCAGGAGTCTTGAATACTCAAGTTGGTACCTTACACACTTCTCTGGATTTTTAATGGAATTTCTTAGACTGAAACGACCACAACTATTATGCTTCTGCTTCACATTATCTGATTTACGGCTAGCGTTTGAGCTCAAGAATACAGTACGACAGCAGTAGACCCTTTGTTCTGTTTGTTTTAAAGGCAAGCAGTAGTTTCTGGGAAACACTATGTGTTAGAATTAGAGCTGCAACATGTAGGAACAGCTCCTGTGCTGTATTCCCCTCTTTGGCAAGCTGTGCGGTATGGTCATTAGAGCAAAGTGTATATAGCTGAAATGCACGTGTTGTATTCACTTGAGATGCATACAGCTCTTCCAACTGTGATTGCAAAGGTGGTTTAAGTGGTAGAAACTCTGTTTTAGAGGTGTTTGCTCAAATACATGTAGTTACGTGTTTCGCTTCGGTATCTGTTTTGAAACTGAGGTTCTTCCCTCCAATGAAGATCTGGTTCTCACTTTGCTGACAGTTCCTGCTTTGCTGCTCAAACTCCCACAAGCTGATTTGTAGTATAGGAAAATGCAACTAATTTTAAGATTTTATCCAGTAATCACGGCTAGGAAGTACAGCAAATGGTGAACTAGCATGGGAAGAAGACAGTCAGAATTCATGGACTCCTGATAGCAGGTGCTTTTTTTTTTAGTTTATAGTTAATTTTTTAAAAGTTACTGGTTTAAATATGCTGTGCTTCATGGGTTAAATAGCCTGCAGATTTGTTTAAGTGTCAGTTCAATGTAGCTGATGGCTAATTTGTGCTTCCTCTGTTTTTCAGTGCTTGCACCTCCTCCACCGTTGCCACCACCAATACAGGGATATGCCTTTAAACCCCCTCCTCGACCAGATTTTGGCACTTCTGGGAGAACAATCAAACTGCAGGCCAACTTCTTTGAAATGGACATTCCTAAAATAGATATCTACCATTATGAATTGGATATAAAGCCAGAAAAATGCCCTAGAAGAGTTAACAGGTAAGACTGTGCTTTGCTTTTTCTCAGTTTATTTACATTCTTGTTTTCCTTTGAAGATGCTGGAGCCGTGTGCCTGTTGTCATGGGCGGCTTGGAGGATGTGTCTGCCTTTAGTCATTGTACTGATAGCTTCCAAATTTGCTTATTCATCAACTGGGATTTTTTTTATCCAAGTCTTTCTGTACCAATCCAGTATTTCAGTGCTAATTGTGCCTTGTCAGCATCTTTAAGATGCTGCTGATCAAAGCCACTGGTGACAGATGGATAAACTATATTAACTCCAGTGGAGCTAGGTCAGTATAAGCCAACTTGATAAATATGAATCTTAGTATTGCTTGGCTAAATATTGGAGTGCAATTGGCTGACAAGTCCTTTAGCAGGGACCTAGTGTTACCAGCTTGTTTTCCCACCTTTCCCTACTGACAAGGCGAGGCAAAACCCGTTTGTGCTGCTGCAAGAGGATTGTGGAGGGACTAAATTAGGTAGGAAATTAGCCTTCATCAGTAGATTCTATATAAGGGAAAGATATGCTCCTGAAACAGATAGCAAGGTGAAAACATGGATCAGTTGGCCAAGGATAGAAGCCATTAGGTCTTGCATTTTGCATATATGCCCTGTTAGTCACAGTGTGGCAACCTCATTGACTTGAAAAAGAGTGGTGTTGCCAGAAGTGAAACTTGAGAACAAGACTTGGCACTAACTGGAAACCACAAGTGTCATCATCATAACTACCTACATCTTGACTGTAGAGGATTGGAATGGCATGTTTATATATTCAAGAGCAAAACCTTTCCTTATTAAAAAAGGTCACATGGGTGGAACATGCAGTCATGAACATGAACAAAGTGTGGAGTCAAAAGAGACACCCGAAAGCCAAAGTTTTCTTAACGTGAATTAATAAACTGGAGTGCATTATTCACTGTTATACTAAAGAGTTGGTAATGATAGCAGTTTCATAAAGCAACGTCACTGCCCTTTGCTGTCCTGTTTTTTCCTGTGGTGATCTATTATAAACTTAATTTTTAAGCTAGTCAAGAACTGAATTTAATTTTCACTTAAATGAAGTGTATGTTTTCTTTTGAGTGCTTATTCCTTCCTGTGTTACCCTACAGATGTACCTGCAAGTCACCTACACCTGGGTTTTTGTGAGCTGTGACCTTTGTCCTACACGTATACCTGTATTTTTGTGTGTGCTTATATATGTATATAGGATTGTGTATGACACAGATGTAGTCCAGTTCTAAATGATAGGGCTTTTTCAGCTGGCTTACACATTTCTAGTATTTTGGTTATATAATTCAGATGTATATTTATAGTAAATAGTTTTTTATCATTACTTTGTATGTTGGAACCTCTTGAAAGGGTAGACAGAAATTTTATTTCCATTTACACTACTCCCTCATCTGTTCCAGTTTCATTCTTCAGTTTTATTCTAGGACTTACTACAGCTTGGACCATGACCCTACAGACTCACTCACTGCAGGGATGTGTATGGAGTACATGCAAGTTCCACATTAATGAGATGTGAACTGGAGCAGGACTGGAAACACACAGCTGCTGCGCCAAATTAATACAGTCTGGCTACAATTCTTCACATGTCACAGAAAGGCCATATTTGGATAGTTAAATAGGCAGAGTGGGCAGTGTGATTTGGGTTCTGCACCACGGATGCCCTTTGATTTAAGTCATGAGGACAGCTAGTACTCACACAGGGTTCAAGATGGACTCTGCTTGCGCTTGCTGGCCCCGAGTTCTTGGTGTGCTTGGGTGATCTGAGTAGAATAGTAGTCCCAAAGGACTGAAGTTAGTGAATTGGTAAATAAGTCTTCTTTTAACTTCACATGGAGAATATAACTTACTTTTCACTAAGATCTGTCCACCCACAGCTGAGAAGCACCATTGCTAAATGTGGTTTGAAGCTTGAAAACCTTAATTAAGTCCAAGTGTTCATTTTTATATAAAGCAGTTCACAATCGGAAGAACCTGCTCAGTAAGAGAATGGGTTTTCCGTTGCTCAATCTTTAACTCAAGGTTGAAAAATACCTCCTTCCTCCCACCCTCCAAATTGTTCAGTCAGCCGTTGCAGAGCTCAGGCAGATATGACTGGGTCAAGTTTTATTCATACTTCTTAGGAGGTCAGACAAGTTTCTTTCAGTGGTCACATCTTGTCTTAAAACACTGGAGCACAGCAAAGAAATAGTTAATTAAAACAGCCTTCATTCTTTTCTTGAACGAATTCAGAGTTTTCATCTCAGAATTTTGCATTGATGTAATATCTAACTATATGCTGGGTTAATTACCTTTCCAAGTCAAGGTGATTCAAATAGTCATCTGCAGTGTCTCTGAGCTGCTAGTTGAGAACAGTACTAAGAAACAGTGGTTTACTTTCTGTGTCGGTTTAACTTCTTAATGCCCTTTTGCCCCAAGCTGTACGTTAAGGATCTTGTAGGCAGCATACTACAGGCTGCTGCTGGGTTTCAGATTTTACAACCTTGTGATGCAGATAGCCTGAAGGATGTCTCTCTGGGACATTTGGACCAAAGACCTTTGGCATCAAAGGGTTTTATTATTCCAACAGACCTCTCATCAGCTGGTGAACTGCTTTGCATGACCAGTGTGTAAACACTGTGGTTTGACAAGAACTTTGTGAGTGGTTACGTTATTCATACAAACGTGTAACCTAATTCCAGCTATGCTTAAACAAATCTGTATTTTTAATACACATGGGTCTCTGGGAATGCGCATATCCAGTTTTGTTGGATGGATGCCAGTTGTGTTGCATATATGAAAAAATGGCATTTAAATCATTCTCAGCGTGATGCAAAAAGTTTGCGTTATCACTGTCATCATAGAACTATTGTCCTTACAATACAGCTCTAAGCTTGGCTAGTGATTTTTCTTGAAAGCTTCTCAGGCTGCTGAGCTTTTGGTCCGTGGTCCTCTGCAGAAAGGGCTGTAGGACAGGAGAGCAGAAGCCCCAGGAGAATACCAAGCATTTCTCTTTTTGAGCTTGAGAGAGCACGAGCTTTCACTTTACACTTTCAGTCGATCACAGAAAAGAGGAATCTGAAAAAGCTAAAAATAGCTGCTTTAAGAAAATAGTTTAGTCTGTGAAAAGGTTGCTTTAATTCGTATCAGTCAAACAAATCTTGCCTTTAATACCCAGCACTGGACAACCCTTTCACTTACCTAATGTCTTCATAAATAATAGTGTTCATCTGCTACTTAACATTAAAGGTAAAAAGTTGAATTAACATAAATCTTTTGTATTTTCAGAGAAATAGTGGAGCATATGGTTCAGCACTTTAAAACCCAGATTTTTGGGGATCGCAAGCCAGTGTTTGATGGAAGAAAAAACCTTTATACAGCTATGCCACTTCCCATTGGGAGAGATAAAGTAAGTTTTAAATAGAAAAGTTCCTGATTGGAGATTTTAATGTCATATTTGCAGAGCCTTTCTAATAACTGATAGAAACTGATTTTATATTTCTCGAATAGATGTCTCCTGCTGTTGCCACTTTGCTCAGGGTGTGGTTTGCCAAGACTGAAGTGTGAGCTTGTTGTCAGGAAAACGGTCACTCCCCTTTCCATATCCTTTCTTTCCTCCCTCTCTTTTCTCCCCACTCGTGTGGTTTCTGCTGGTTTGGTGAGCTGGATCAACCGCTCAAGATAGTGGACAAGGTCTTACCGGTGCTAGGGAGAAGGTTAAAGCAGGGTTGAGTTTGGGAGAGGGGAGCAGAAGCACCCCTTTGGGCAACAGCAAGTTGTTGTGTCAGCTTGTTAATCTCATCAAAGCCCCCTAGAAGCTGGTTCTCACTATCCACTAGCTGGAAGAAACTCCTCCATCCTTCCATTGCCTGTATGGAACCTCTTCCCTAACCCTTTACGATGTGAGAACCAAATTAATTCAGACTGCACAGGTTAAGACCTGCTAGCTTAGCCCTGGGGCAGTCGAAGAGGATTTGTGTGTTCTGTTTGCCCACTTTGTATGTGGGGCGGTGAACCTCTTTGGTCACTCTGGTTGTAGCTGCAAAGTGTACCCACGTCTGTGCCCATTGACTGGTGAAGTAGAAGGGACTGTGTTGGAACATGCTAACACACAAACCGTATAAAATAGTTTCGCGTATGTATCCGTGGTCTACTATCAGATTGAATTTTCTGTGGCTTTTTTCATTAAGATGAACACTTGAGGATACAGTCATTCTTGTTGTTTGTACTAGAGTAGTTCCCAGAGGCCATTTTACCCTTCTGCTATGGGTGCAAGGTGAGGCATGCACAGCTACAGGGGAAGACTGTCCTATCCCGTAGAAGTTGATTACAACCTAAGTGGACAGAAGTAAACCGTAAGGGGCAAAGGGAAATACAGAGAAATGTAGAAACTTGCTTATGTGATAAAACTGGGAACAGAACTCAGGTCTTCTGAAGTTCAGTAGCAGTGTGCTGTAAAAGAGTGTCATGCTGTCCTTTGCTGTCTCATATTGTATGTCTGTGCTGTGCTTGACAAAGTTAATGATTCTACCTGAATCAAGCTCTTGATCTCATATGTGTAATTTTTATTTCCCTCAAATGTATTTAAGTGAATGTCATGCAGTGAAGGTCAGTCTCTATTCCAGTCTTAGGTATTTTTCAGTAACCAATAAGGTAACATCTGGGAAAACTGAAAATAAATCATTAAAAGTATTAGAGATTTTTTTTTTTTTCTTTCACATATAGTATTCCAATTCCTACAGATTTGACACATAAGATTGCAAAGTATTTGCCAAAGGTGGAATGATACTTGATGAGTTTAAGGGTTTAAACAAGTCCTCTGGATGCACACAGAATTACCTTATAATACTTTCCAAGTTATGCATGACTGACAATATATTTATGACAAGTATGAAGTTCTGCATTTAATAAGTAAAGGTAAATGAAAAATGGTTTCTCTGTGGAGAATAAACAAACTGGGATCAGATTAATCCTCAGAGCTAATGAGACTTTTTGTGAGATGCAAGTTGGCCCTACTCTGATTTGGAGCTAGATGAACTGGCCCCCTCCTGTTCCTTCTGTGTCTGCATGCCTGCTGACTGAATAGGACTCGACTCTTCACAGAATCGTGTAGGTTGGAAAAGCCCTGGAAGATCCTCCAGTTCAACCATTAACCTCACCCTGACTGTTCCCAACTCCCCCAGATCCCTCAGCGCTGGCTCAGCCCGACTCTTCAACCCCTCCAGGGATCCCGGGGACTCCCCCCTGCCCTGGGCAGCCCATTCCAACACCCAACAGCCCCTTCTGCACAGAAATCCTTCCTCAGAGCCAGCCTGACCCTGCCCTGGGCAGCTTGAGGCCATTCCCTCTTGTCCTATCGCTTGTTCCTTGGCTCCAGAGACTCATCCTCTCTCTCTGCACCCTCCTGGCAGGGAGTTGCAGAGGGCCAGGAGGTCTCCCCTCAGCCTCCTCTTCTCCAGACTGAACCCCCCCAGTTCCCCCAGCCGCTCCCCAGCAGACCTGTGCTCCAGACCCTGCCCCAGCTCCGTTGCCCTTCTCTGGGCACGCCTGAGTTGGATTTTAAAGCCCATGTATACTAAATCATACATGGGAAAAATGGAATCTAGTGACAGTGTGTCAGCAGGAAATGCTTTTGATGCCTCAATTCTTTTGTGTCTGTGCAAATGAACATTGTAACCTACACCTGGGAAAAAGCTGACTTTAATTATTTTGTAACCACTTTGGTTGGGACAGAATTATCTAACCAGAGCGATGATCATTTGCAAAAGGTGGTCAGTTAGGAGAGTGTTTTTAGTGGAGGTTAGCACAAGGTGGTTCAGATAGCTTAATCTGTGGCTCAGACTTAGGCTCTCTTTTAATGAAGTCATATTTTTTCCCTATTTCTCATGGGATATAGGACTTTGTTTGTTCTGCCATACATATATTAATATTATTACCCTGGAGGAGAGAGCTAATAGAGATAAATCTTCAGCTGATTTAAATCTGACGTGGGGAAATTTAGTCTAATGGGAGATTTTTACATGGTGCTAAAATGGTTTAAGCATGGTTTAAACTAGTGTAAAGCTTGTAGGTATTAGGACTTTTCTTCCAGCATAACTAATTAGCTTTCTTTGGAGGGTTTTTTTGGATGTTCTGTACATAATAAATGTAGCAAGTTTGCTGCACATCTCATTACATTTAGGATCATATTGAAAGGGTATATGAACATAGAATGATTAATAGATGATCTTTAATAAAGTGGAGGACAACCTTGATTTCCTTGCAGTGTGCATCAGTAGTGGAAGAACTGATGCTGAACAGAAGGCTGAGACCAAATTGCCAACACTTCTTTCCTTCCTTTTGCTCTTTAAGTTAACTAATGTACTCTGTCCTCATCTCTTGTCAGTAGTGGTTGTTCTAGGGTTGGCTTCTTTCGTCCTTGCTGACAACCCTGCTTCTTTTATAATTTCTTCTATTATATAAATACTTTTCTGCTAGGCTCTCATGGTGATCATACCTGTTTTCATACCTTCCTTACTGTACTTTATTTTCACTCCCCAATTCCTTCATTTCTTTAGACCTTTCAGAACAAATATGAAATGTGTAAATATTAACAATATTTTCTTAGTTTTTACTTGTACACATTGAGAAGAAAGAAGTGTACAGGACACTGTCAAGGTATGAAGATATTAATAGTCTTGTCTTTCCTCGTGGGTTCTAACAGCAAGTCCAGGTCACCTCTAATTGTGGCTTTGTACTCAACTGCTGTTACTTGTGTATTTCCCTAAAATACTCTTCTGTGATAAAGAGCTAGAATTACATTTTAACCAAACTTAAAGGTTTTCTCACCTAGCAAGATTCAAGAACAAATGATATATTATAACATACTTCTTAAGCAGTCTTTAATTAGAAAAACAGTAATTACAGTTTACTGGCTAAAAACAGTCTATGGCCACAACCTTCCTTCTCTTCACTTTCTCTGTTTGAAGTACTGCTGCTGACACTGTACATGGCAGAAGCAGACCTCTTTCTTACATCCATAGCTTGAGATTTCCAAACTAGTCCATGGGAGGTAGGCACCCAAATATTTGACTGGAAACTGTGCATGTTTTCCTCTGAATCCCTGGGAAGGAAAAGCTCATAGAGAAAAGGTACATTGTGTGTTCTAAAGATGATAAAATAATCAGCGTTGCATGTATTTATAGAGTAGAAGGAGCATTAAGAATTCCCCATAAACACATGGTCACGTTTAATTTTTATTATTTTTAAACAGTGATAGGCTGATTTGTATGAGTCAGACTACATCAGCTACAAGATCTATTCTTTTTAAGGACAGCTTTCAAATTTTTCTACAGGCTTAATGATTTTTCACATCCCTGCAGTAACATTCCTTTCCTTTAGCCACAAAATTGTTGACTGTGTTGCAATCTAGCAATGGGTCTAGTAGGTAGTAGGTTAGTAATTTTTTTTATTTGGGGATAGATTACACCTGGTAAAACTGTAGAAAATCAAACATTAAATTTGGCTTTATAGTTTTTTATTCATAATAGTAAAGTACACGGTAAAATTCCCATTAAAAACTACCTTGTCTTGAAATTTTTTGTGTTTTGCTTACTCTGTCAAACATGAGTGTGTTCATTTGCCCTTAAAAATATAGAGTGGAATAAATAAAATATTACTGAGATACTTAAATTCTGATTAGCAGTGCCTAAAAGTATATGTGGCCATGTGGTTTAATGACACATTTTTTTGGTCATAATATATTTTTCTGATTTTTATTTTTCTTTTAGCATAACCTCTTCAGTGACATGTAATTCAGGTGAGATACTAAAGGAAGAAAACCTGGAAAGTTGAATTTAAATCTTACTTATTTGAGCAGTGACTCTTAATTCAACTGTTTTGAAGTAGGGCTAGTCCCAGCAGCAAAAAAGATTTGGGCCAAGTTCAGCAGTGTGTCACAGCTAGGCTAAACTTAACTGGTATTTGCAGTCTAGCAACTGGAATAGTAATTCTTCAGTCATGGGTCTTTTATTTCCACCATGGACATTGATACTGCAACACAGCTAGTCCTGTTCTTCTTCATCTGCTGTTCCATCACAGCGAAGGAGCTTTGTAAATTGAAACCAGGAGGGGAAAAAGTAACATGAAATATTTGTTTTAGATTAAGGGTACCAAAGTTGTTGCTAATCAGATTAGTTGCATATTAACAATATCAGGAATAATAGAAATTATGAAACTTGAAGGAGGAGAAAAGTTTGAAGGAAAATGAAGTTCAGGTGTGACAGATGTCTTCCATCTGCTCTAAATGTTGAAGACCTTCGGATGGCGTGGTGGAAAAAAGGCCTTCACTGAAAGGTTCCAACCTGTGTCAGCTGAAAACCTGTACCATAATTTGCACAGCTGTTCAGCAGTTAACATTCTGGGCCAAATTCAGACCAGTGGCCCTGCAGTTACAGACTCCCATTGCCATTGCTCTCCCACAGCCCTACAGCTCCTTCCTCTACTCAAGTCTCCTGGTGAATGATGTTTATACTAGGGGAGAGATGTGGCTGCAATATTAATTGTGACTGCCTGCTATAAACTGTCAACTTACATACATTCCTGTTACATACAGGAAGGCTTATTATTTGTGTTTTATCTTTTCTTCCTTTTTTTTGACTGAAGAATCTTAACTGTCGCAGAAGACCAGATGATTGCATAGGTTAGCTCACCATTACCCATGTATTATTTTTGCTAACCCACTAATTACAGTTAGTCTGTTAAGTGGATGTCTTTTATATTTAAATTGTAAGTTCCCTAGGACAGGAAGATGCAATGTTTTTGTTTATATCCAGCACAAAGGATACTCTGATCTTGTTATTTCTTGTCGTCACTCCCAGAACTGCTAATCATTTCAGACAAGCCTTAATTTTAGTCTGTTTAAGAACTTCAGTGCTCAGGCTTTCTTTGTTTTAATAAAGAGAAGAAATCAGCATTACAAGTAATTACAAGTAATTGGCTAAAATAATTTACTGTAATGTAGTTTGCCAGTGATTTTTAGACAAAAAATTCAAAGTAGGGCATAACATGTCAAAGGAGTGCCCGTTTCCTGCCTGATAGCATCACTAGTGCTTAGGGGTCATCATTTATTCTTTCTTCAGTGTTTTAAAATAAGGGTTTCTCATTGGTGGGTTTTGTGGGGGGTTTTGTTTCATTGGTAGGGGGCAGGGGCATGATGTATGTTGTTCTGTTTGTTTTTTTTTTCTCTTTGAAACCTCCTTGTGGATTTTATTTTCTCTTGTTTGAACTATGTCTACAGTAATAGCACTCTGGTGCTCTAGCAAATGGATACCAGAAATTCATAAGTCTTGGCAGGTAGTGACAGACCATGTTTTATTTTAGGCATGCAGGAGCTGACATGAGCAGTGATGCATTAGTATGTGTTAGGTATCTGAAATCAGGTAATTGGATCTTCACAGAGACCTCTCAGTGGATACGCAAGCACTTCCAAATGATAATGTTGCCTCCAAGAGGGAGATAGATGCCCATTGGGAAGCATGCCAGCTTTCTGAAATACATCTTTGGAAAGATCTAGCTGTAAAAAGAGGCTGTACCTAATGTGTTTTGTTTCTTCATCATTGATTTTTGTCTCTTCCCATGCTTTATAGCGCTGTTCAGAGGAATCCATCATCCCTTCCAAGCCCCTTCCATTTTCCCCTTTAAATGGAAAGAATCATCTTGGTTTGTTGTTTGGCATTGTTGCAGGTGGAGCTGGAGGTCACGCTGCCAGGAGAAGGAAAGGACAGAATATTTAAGGTGGCTATAAAGTGGATGTCCTGTGTGAGTTTGCAGGCTTTACATGATGCTCTTTCTGGTCGGCTGCCAAGTGTCCCGTTTGAAACCATCCAGGCACTGGATGTAGTGATGAGGCACTTGCCTTCCATGAGGTGAGGGGAAGACCTTGACGTTGTTTAGGAGGTTGTATTGTTATTTGAATCACTTCAGTGGCTTTTTGGGTAGGATGTGCTTTCATAGATCAACCAAAATTGCAGGTGGCATGCTCAGGCAAGAGGCAATATGGTGCTTTTCTGCTCATCTGCTGGAATTGGTAGCCTCCAGCCTGGACACAGATCTCTTTTCCTTCTGGTCTTCAGACTTGCTCCACGTTTGTGTGCTCTCGGGTCAGGGGTGCCGTGCCATCTCACTCGTACCCTGTTTCTCTGTAGGCCTCAGAGAAGGAAACCTTCCTCGAGTGGAAAGTACTTGGAGATTGGTAGATGTGTAAGGGTGGTTTTAAAACTTGTTACCCTCTTCCTATGTGTCCTTGGACAGATATTTATTGCCAATTTTGTATAAAGGATACAGTGCTATGGGTATGTCAGTGTCGCCCAGTGTAGCTATTTTTATAGAAAAGAAAAACTTGAAAATGATTTGTTTTTTTTCCAAGCATGTGGGATCTACAGCATTTGCAGTCAAACCCAAGAGATACTGGGTTTAATTATGCTGCCATGAAACAAGTCACTTAAGACCGCCAGATTCCATTCAATTGGAAAGTAAAGAACAAAGCTTAGTAAGGCTGAGTTTTCCCGTTTTGATTAGCTAAATAGGGAAAATGAGTTAAATTTATGTAAATATCTTTAAACAGACTTTTATTACATTGACTTTATCCTCCCATTAAGGATAAAAAAATAAAAATCTCTTCAGTCAGGTTTTGCAACATACAAAACAGTCCAGACTAGTTAGTCACACATCTTTGTTCAGAGAAACATATTGGCACTGGTTTTGATTACTTTGATATTAAGTGTGCAGTACTGAATTACCAAGATGAAAGATGCATCAAAAATATTTGTTAGATCAGTTGTTTACCCATGCAAAGTTTCCATGGATTTCAGAGGAAGCTATGTACAAGTAAGGGAAGATTGTATTACATTGTTGTTTTAATAGCAGAGATGTTTAGTTATATTTTTTACTGAAGCATATCTGAATTTTTAAGAGAGTATTAAAAAAAGTTATTAATGCTTTTTGTTTGAATTAGTAGGTATATTAAGGAGTATACTGAAAATAAGTTTAAACAAATGGGAGTAGTAACCAATTTCTTACTGTAACTACCTGGATTTTGAGAGGTGTAACCTGAGTCATGACAGGAATCTCAGATTATTGGTAATTTGAAACACTGACATTTCTGTGCTTCTGGAAGGAATTTGCATTAGTTATGGCTTTATTGCCTTTTTTTTTTCTTTGCTTTAGTTTATGATCTGAATTTATTTTCTCTATTGCAGATATACTCCTGTGGGGCGATCTTTTTTTACAGCATCAGAAGGGTGCTCAAATCCATTGGGTGGTGGCAGAGAAGTTTGGTTTGGCTTCCATCAATCAGTCAGACCTTCACTGTGGAAAATGATGTTAAATATTGATGGTAGGTCCTATAGAAATCTGTTCCAATGGGAAGCCAAAAAGTTACTTCCATTTGTTGGATTTCCTCAGTATTGTAATACAACATTAATGTTTTTGTCTGCAGTATCTGCAACCGCATTTTACAAAGCACAGCCAGTTATTGAGTTTGTATGTGAAGTTTTGGACTTCAAAAGTATTGAAGAACAACAAAAACCTCTGACAGATTCCCAAAGGGTAAAGTTTACCAAAGAAATAAAAGGTAATAATTGCATAAAACTTCTTTATTCTGCATAATGGTGTGTTACCATTACACGTTCAAAATATTTTCTATAGCAGTTGCCTTGTTGGGGATAGATTGTCACAATGAAATATGCACATACGCTTTTTGAGCAAAACTAAGAAGCAAGAATCTTTTTATTCCTTACATGTATTTCAAGACTTTAAGAAGTCTACTGATCAATGATATGTTTGAGTCACAGAATCACAGAATCATCAAGGTTGGAAAAGACCTTGAAGCTCCTCCAGTCCAAGCATGAACCTCACCCTGTCCATTCCCCACTCCCCCAGATCCATCAGCGCTGGCTCAGCCCGACTCTTCAACCCCTCCAGGGATCCCGGGGACTCCACCCCTGCCCTGGGCAGCCCATTCCAACGCCCAACAGCCCCTTCTGCACAGAAATCCTTCCTCAGAGCCAGCCTGACCCTACCCTGGCGCAGCTTGAGGCCATTCTCTCTTGGCCTGGTGCTGGGTCCTTGGCTCCAGAGACTCATCCCCCCTCTCTGCACCCTCCTGGCAGGGAGTTGCAGAGGGCCAGGAGGTCTCCCCTCAGCCTCCTCCTCTCCAGACTAAACCCCCCAGTTCCCTCAGCTGCTCCCCAGCAGACCTGTGCTCCAGACCCTGCCCCAGCTCCGTTGCCCTTCTCTGGACACGCTCAAGTCACTCAATGGTCTTTTTGGGGTGAGGGGCCCAAAACTGAACCCAGGAATCGAGGTGCAGCCTCACCAGTGCCGAGTACAGGGCTCAGATCCCTTCCCTGTCCCTGCTGGCCACGCTATTGCTGACACAAGCCAGGATGCCATTGGCCTTCTCGGCCCCCTGGGCACACTGCTGACTCCTGTTCAGCCGGCTGTCAATCACCCCCCAGGTCCCTCTCTGACCGGCAGCTCTCCAGCCACTCCTCCCCAAGCCTGTAGCCCTGCTGGGGGTTGTTGTGGCCCAAGGGCAGCCCCCGGCATTTGCCCTCAGTGAAACTCATACAAGTCAACTTGTCCTTTTTTCTTACCTCATTGGTTCATCTCTGTAGCTTCACAGAGTCACTTTGTGAATGTAAGCAAAGTTGGGTCAGTTCAGATAAATATGTGGCTTCAGATTTGATGAATCACTAGTACAGAAACTTAAGTGAGCTTCTTTTTTGGACCAGCCACATTTAGGGCTCAGGTATGCACATGAGTAAACTATCACATATTCAAGAATCTGTAGTAACTATATATATGTGTGTGCATTTTGCCTGTGGCAATATAGGGTAGTTTAATTAGTTTTCCCCTTAATGAAAGTGCTTTGAAACTATGATGATGATATGTTTTACTCTAAGTGATGGGCTGAACTAAAGCTTTCTAGAAGATGGATGATAATTTATTTTAGTGAGAGAATTACTGGCTTGTGACTTGTGCAAGCTTCTCTTCATTTAAGTGTAGGTTCTCTTGATATACCTTCGCTTTTTGTGCCTCACCACCACTTGATCAAGTGTCATGTCAAAGTTACTGGTGCGTGTTGGCATCCAAGAGCACCTCAGTGCAGAGGTACTACTGAGATCTCTGTTTTACATCATGGAGAGCAGCATCCCTTATTTTGTCAGTCTCCTTAAAACAATTTATATTCCTAAATGAATATTGCTTTATTGTATTTAGAAGTTGCATTTACTCTAGTGCTTTACTCTTCTTGAAGTACCCCCATCTCTAGAGTAAATATGAGTTAACAGAAATACAACCATTCAATATTTTTCTCTTCTGAAACATATCGGTAGTGCCAGTCACAGTTTTGTGACAAAGATACTCCAGTTCCTAATCTGATGATATCAAAATGTTTACAAAGACTGGAATTAATGTTGTTGTTTCTTAAAAAAAAATTACTCGATCTTAAATTTTTCCCATTATTGATGTCAAGATTTTCATATTCCATATTTTACTAATAATTTAGCAATGTGTTTTTTGCATACTTAGGTATATACTCTCCTGGAAGTAATTTACATTTTTTTCTAATATGTAAGGACTGAATCAAAGAGTAGGGGGAAGAAATCTTGAATCACTGAAGGTTTCTTCTGGAAAATGGAGGTCCTTCCTTCATGATACGCTTGATAGAAAGAAAACAAGTTAAAGAAGAATAAGCATCTCCCTAAATCTATCATGCAACTTCCTTGTTTCCACAAAATGTCCACAAAATCATCTTTGCCCAACTAGAAGTTAGCAAGAAAAGTGTAAATAAATAATGAGTTTGTACTGGTTGTAAACGTTTTGAAAAAATAATCAGGCACTGAATTGCCAGCTGGTATTATATTTTTTTTTTTTCTCATGAGGATTTTCATTCTTCAGATAGAAGTCATCTCAGATTTGCAGCAAAGCTAGCTGTAAATTGAGGTAACAGTTTATCTTTTAATGAAAATACTGTGATACAGATTTCAAAGGTATCATGAAAACTTGATATTTATTGAAGGTTTCATAATAGATGGCATTTTGAGCCCTAAAAAATTATGTGGAAAGATTAGTACGTTGTTGGCAAGTTATTATTGCCTTTCACGGATAGAGGAAATATGCACTGTTATTCAGCAGCAGCCTGGGCTATATACATGTGTAGATACATGAGGTATTCCTGTCTACAGCCCACTCTTTGCTATTCTCACACATTCACTTTCTTGTCTCTAGTGGTTCACATACATTTGTTTCTGCCTGAGGATGAAAGTAATATAAATGAAAATGCTGCATTCAAGCTTGTATTTGTGGGTAGTGGTGAATTAGAAACACTTCTTTACAGGTAGCTGTGTTGTGCTGGTTTTGGGTGGATAATTTATTCTTGCAGAAGTTACTGACTTTCAGGTGGGCTCAGCTTTTGTGCCAGTGGGATTTGCAACAGATGTTTGTCTTCACAAAGAATAAAGCTCTGTGGCCTCATTCCTATGGGCTCCTAGAGTCTGTGTGGGTATTCCCCCCCCTCCCTAATTCATCAGTTCAGGGTTGGTTGCAAGAGTTGGAGGTCTCAGAGACACTGTATGTTTAGACATAGGAATAAACAAGCTTTTGTTTTGAGAAGGTTGCATGCCCTTTTTGTCCTTCTGCCATCCTGGACTTCCTTAGAGGTATAGAATTGGAATTCACTGAATACATTCAGCTTCATCTGCAAACTCTTAGGGCTTTGGGGTTTTGTCTTGTCTCTAAAATTCTTTGTTGAGTTTTGCCTGAAGCTCAGGGATTTTGAACTTTAAGACTATAAATTGGGTTTTTTGAGTTCTGTATGGGTGCTTGGAGACCATTCTAAATAGTGAATAGCTTTACTGCACAGTTTAAGTGGTCTTGCGTAGCTATTTAGGGCACTGACACTTTAATTTGCAATAAAAAGTTATATGTGTTTTCCAATTTTTAGGTCTAAAGGTGGAGATAACACACTGTGGACAAATGAAAAGAAAGTACAGAGTGTGCAATGTCACCAGACGACCAGCAAGTCACCAAACGTAAAGTATTTTTCTTCTTCTTTAAGCATATGTTCACTCTCAGGCTGGAAAAGTATCTCGCCTGCCTGACTGACACAAGAAGGCTTGTCTTGAAAAATTATGCTGCCTTTGGTCAATACATTTAAAATACACCTCAAAGTATTTTTCTGATTTCGCTATTTTTATTCTATAATGAATGTCATGGCATTTGAACCAATCTCTTTGTTTTAAATCTGTGATGGGTTGGTTTGTTGGTTTGGGTTTTTCTGTTTTTTTAGTTTACAGATTTCTTCAACACTGGAAGAACAGGATGACTTATTGGTAGAATAATGTTTCCTAGAACTGTTGAGTAGAAGTGTAGTGCCAGTTGGGATTAGCTTTCTCATCTTGCTTGCTAGCAATCTATTTTTCTTCTGGAAAAAATGTTTCTTTTTAATCACTAACCAGAGATTTGCAGATAACTTGAATATGGAGGTATTTATTCCCATTTCTAAGAAAGTAGTATAAGGAACAAAACCGATACCAGCATTTTACAAAAAGGTAGCTGGTCAATATGTAAATCTGGTTATTTAATTACTTGGGGTTTGTTTTGTGCCCTTTCAGTGATGTATTACAGGAGTGCAAGCATAGTATTTGTGCCACCTTGAAGTAAGCATATGCAAATGTGTGTGCATGTATGGAAATATATTTGTAATGTACAGAAAGAGAAAAATGCATTTCTGAAGCAATAATTGGTTTTGTGACTCTCAGAGTAGGGGTACTATTTTCTGCACGTGGCATATCATAAAATGTAGTACTGCAAGTATCCTAAATAAGCAGAAAACATTAGTCTTTGTTTCTAAGACAAAAACTTTATTTCTAAGTGGATTAGAAACTTAATTTATAGCTTCAGGTATCAAGAACGTTTAAGAAATAGCCTTCTGTGGTACTATTAGAAGACGCACGGTAGTGGAAATGATGGAATCTTAATTATAGAAGCACACTTGCATCATTTCAGCAAGATGGGTTTAATCTCCAGTAAGTTTAAGTCGTGCCAAGAATTGTATTGAGCAAGTGTGGGAAAGTATCTACATAAAGTAATGGCTTCTTTTCATATTCCATTTCCAATAGATTCCCACTTCAGCAGGAGAATGGACAAACAGTTGAATGCACTGTAGCTCAGTATTTTAAGGACAGGCACAAATTAGTTTTACGCTATCCTCACCTTCCATGTTTACAAGTTGGGCAGGAGCAGAAGCACACATACCTTCCTCTTGAGGCAAGTACACTTCTACATAATACTGTATTCTGGGAATAGGGGGGAAGGGGGTCAGAGGAAAAAAGGCTGAAATGTTGACAAACTGTTTCTTGAGTAGCCAACTTGAGAAGTTGTGTAGTGCAGCAATGAAAAAAAAAAAAACCAAAACCAACCCCAGAAAACAGTTAAAAAAAGTTTTTTAACTTCCTTTGTGCGGGGCTATTTCAGGTGTGCAACATAGTGGCAGGACAAAGATGCATAAAGAAACTCACTGACAATCAAACTTCCACTATGATTCGAGCAACTGCCAGATCAGCACCTGACCGTCAAGAAGAGATTAGCAAATTGGTGAGTGTTCTGTCAAAGATGAGTGAAGTGTAGTAATGGACTTCATTTTTCTTTTGCCATTAACAGATACTGAATAGTTTGTGCACTACACACAGGTTATGAGCTTATTTTTATAAGCATTTCTCCTTTAATCAGAGAGAAATACATTATCACAAAAGGTTTTCAAGTGGCTTTTTGGTGCTTTATTTCAAATTTTGAGGCATCCATGTATCCAAGTGGAATTAAGAGAGTCTCTGGATGCGTGGCATCACCCATATATAAAGGTTATGTGTCCAAATACAGTTTATCTTGTGAAAATAACTTTTTTTTTTTCCTGCAAGAAATACGAATTCTTTTTAATTTCAGATGCGGAGTGCAAGTTTTAATACTGACCCTTACGTTCGTGAATTTGGAATAATGGTCAAAGATGAAATGACAGATGTGACTGGTAGAGTCCTACAGCCTCCTTCAATCCTCTACGGGGGCAGGGTATGTTGAACAGATACTGTAGCATCTGTGATAGCTTCCATTACCAGCTGTGATAATTTATTTAATATAGTTGTTTTAAATTAATTGTGTGGGATGTAGTGGGATAAAGTCATCACAGATGTAATGTTTCGAACTTAAATCTAGGTTTTGAAAGTCCTTAAATGTAATGGCCATTTTGGATCTCTCTCAATTGCTTCTTTATTTCTGAAAGTAAATATAGGTTAAAAACATGTTTTTGTGAACTTCAGAGAAAACTGTGTAGTTTTTCTTCACACACTGTTTTATTGTGTGTATGTGTGTGTTGCAAGAAGAAACCTGCAAATACTGGTTCAAATCAGTGTGTATTGAGAAGAACAGAGACAACTTAAATTATTTCTGTTTGTTTTCCTTCCTTAACTCCAAAGTCTTCCTGAACTTCTGGTTGGTTTTGAGTGTTCTGGGTGGAGTAGCTCTGTTTAGGACAACTATCTCAAGGTAGTATCTCTACCAACATGTTTTTCTCTAGAGCCGTCTCTTCCTGTTGGAGTATTTACTCACAGGATTTTTCTTTCCAGTGGCTTTTCAGATGGCCTTGCTGACATAATCTTCCTACTGTGGTGTCTTTCAAATAAAGCTTGAGAAACAGGATTTTCTATCAATTATATAATGTGTCTTGGGTTTATGCAAGAGGAAAGATTTGATAGCTGAGATAATTTGTGGAGGCTTCTGATGAACCTCTTCTAGATCATGTGTTGCCAGCGGAAGATAGTTCTGTCCCTATGCACAAGTCACTGTTACCTCCATAAACCCGCAGTGGGAGAGGATCTGGCATCTTCTAAAGCTCTTCTGACAAAACCGGGAAAATTAGCTCAAACCTTCCTTCACTGACAGATTAAGATAACTTATCTGTCTTTGCCTGATCCTGGTTAGGGAGAGTGCTCTCATGCACTATTGTGGCACCTGGGGAACTTAATGGCAGATGAATAATGGAGAGACCGAGTGGGGGAGGTACTGCCTTCAGCAGACACACCTCTGCAAAATCAATTATCAGATTTGTGTCTGTGTCCTGAAAAATTCACATAAATTTTGGCTGTTGCTGCTAAATGAGAAGGCTATCATCGTGGTAACTTGTCTAAAACATCTATGGGATACTAATACTAATTAAGGTAATTAACCTCACCAGAGTTACTTTAGTCATCTCATTATATCCCTTGTCCTCTAGATAATCAATCACAGTAATGTCTGCATGATGGGAGAAAAAAAGTGCTGCGCAGGTCAAAGTTGAGTAACTGATCATCTTTTGTGAGCTTGTTCACATTTTTTCTAGAGTTGTGCAAGTGACATCAAACCAGTATTTGCTTCTACTTGGTGATGTGTAAAATCCTGGTAATACTGAAATTAAGTTGCTCTTGGAAAGGTCACTTAGTGGTCATAAAGTCACTGCAGAACTGTGTGTTCTTGTTAATGTTACATACAAGCATGAATCTGACTTACTATCCATACGTAATTTCTATCTGCTGCTGATTTATATAACTAAAGGAAACCACAAACAATAAAAATGAAGAATATAAGCTTTATTATTATGAACTTCATTTCTTACCTAGCTAGCAAGCTGTCTTGCTACAGTGATAGAATGATCTTTATAAGACAGGGTAGAAGTTTGAGAAGTAGAGAGAAAGACCTGAAAATATAAATAGCCTGCTAGTTGGAGGGAAGTAGAAGCATAACTGGTTTTTGTTAGCATGAATCGATTTTTGTATTACTGTTTTGGTTTTATATTTTTTCCTTCCGCTTCCAGAATAAAGCAATTGCTACACCAGTTCAAGGAGTCTGGGACATGAGGAATAAACAGTTTCACACTGGAATTGAAATAAAGGTTTGGGCAATTGCATGCTTTGCTCCCCAGCGCCAATGCACTGAAGTTCATCTTAAGTAAGTGTGCTTCACAGGATAGTGATTTTATTATTTATGTATGGAATATAATAATTTCACTTATTTAGGTTATATATTTTGTTAGACTGTTCAGCATATGGCAATACATCTTTAACAGTGCTTTTGAAGGTCTCTTTGTGTTTTGAATGACACCATTACGATTTCAGTGCCTCCAAATCAGACTTGCCAAAAGCAATTTATGCTATAAGGCATTTATACTGCATGGTTTCTGAGCAGTGAGGCCTTAGCACAGAGTTTAAGAACCAAAATGATGTAATGACAGGAGTTTATCACTAAGTATTTGTCAAGAATGAAAACTAACAGGTATGTTGGTTTAGATTCTTTTCCTGGTTATATGGAACAGATTTATTCATGCAGAACTTAAAAAGAAAATTTTAAAAAGTGATCCAACTTTTGTCTAAAACTTTCTATTCTCCAGAGTTACCATAATGTGCAAGTATACTGTATTTGCAAGTTGAGTAGGACTAGTTGTGTTGACTTTTTGGGCATTTGAGTGCAACTTTCAAATTTTGTTTCTCTGTCTTTGGATGGAACGTGATTCTTGAAAGACTAGTGTTAAGTGACATCTACCATTCTTAGAGCAGGCAAAGCCTGCATGTCTGTGTAGATTGATTATCTAATTCCTCCTTTTGCACTCAGTTGCCTTTCCTTCGTGCATGGGCAAGTGCAGCTCTTCAGCTGCCCTAGCAGGTGACTCAGCTGCTCTTTGTAAGGTGAAGGCAAGACAGTGATTGTTCGTAACAACAGTATTGCCATAACAGTGTTCCTTCAGATGATTTGCCAAGTAGCTTGGGAATTTATCCCTAACAAGTGGTGAGCAAACAGTGGGAATCTTATGTTTTCCTTTTCGTTCCATTGTGTAAGGCTAGGGACTTGTTCTCTCCAGGTACGTGGCAGAAACTAAGCTACCAGAGAATTTTCCCTTCCATGCTTTTGCTTCTGGTGGAAATGCTGTGTAGGAGATGTTAGACAGTTTTGAGAGATAGGCAGAAGTCCTCAACATAATGAGTCAAAACAAAATTATTTGATGGAGTTTGTCCTCACTGTGAAGGGACATTCCTGCATACTAGGAATATGGCTGCATCCAGTTGCATCTTGTTGCCTCTTGTTACACCTTGTTGAGCAAGTTAGAACTTGACTGCTGTAGTTCTGTCAGTTAAACACTTTCAAAATCTGTAAAAGTCTTCAGAATCGTCTTGTTTAATTTTTCCTCTTAGACACCATACTTACAGATGGACTTCTAAAGGCTCAAAACCTGTGCCATTTTAGACTGCCATGTTCTGCCACTGCTTCTTTCTGCTTATAGTGGCGAGTGCCTGTTTTGCCAGGGAAAATGCTTAATGTGCCTGTTTTCTGCAAGAAGCCACAAGCTGCAGGGCTCAAGCTCACAGGCTGTTATGATTCATGAAAGTTAACAATGGGTTTGGAAGAAACTAAATCTTCACACCCTCTTGCTGGGTAAGGCTGTATTATCTGGCAACATGTGAAGACAGGGAACTTTTTAGACACATATGGGGGCATCCACTCCAAAACAATAAAAGGGGCCTCATCAGTGTTGATATCAGTTAATCATTGCTACCTGGGATCATACATTTACTATGCTGGTCATTAAACCAAGTGCTAAAGGACATCTTGGGGTGCGTGTGCACTAGTGTTTTAGTTTGAAGTATTTGAAGTGATGTTCCTGATGGTCACCAATTGCAATACCATATTCTGCATCAAGGAGCAGTCTTGAGTGTACAATGCGGATTTTGTTTTTTTCGGATGAAACTGGACTAGAGGATGTGCTTCAGCCACTAACAAGCATTCAGCCCACTGCACCAGACTACAGCCACTCTGATGAAAAATCCCAGAAACACACATAGTGTGGATGTCAGTCCCTCAGCACCAAGTCCTCCACTCTACAGGTCTGCACCACGACACCTCACTACTTGCTCATCTTGCCTTTATTTTTTGGGGATGGGATTTAAGAGACTACTCCTGCACCACTGGCTGCAGGCATCTAGCCTGGAGAAGCCATGGCTTTGAAGATGCTTTCCAGACTGGTTATACTTTATAGAGCCCTAGACTCCTACTCTGAAGTGCTTTTGATTCTTGCTTGCAACAGGCACAGCATCTTCTTGGTGTCCCTTCAAAAGCAAAGATAGCCACATGCTACCATGTCAACAAGAACCAGGAGAAGGACGCAGGCTGCAACGCAGCATTCCCTGCTTGCAGGGGGCCTGGAGCAGTCTTCACTGATAAAAGCCTCTGACAAAATTAGGTTGTGTCTGTTTCTATCCAGATCCACCAAAGGATGATTTATATTTGCACCATCCTTGGAGAGAAGGTTTGTCTTCACCTCCAGGATACACCTTTTCTCTGATACCTAGTTCTTGTGCACTGTTATTGATGTTAGGTCAATTTGCTGACATGCAGTTGTTGGTAACTTCTGTTGGTTGTTCTCCTTGTCAAGAAAAAGAAGAAACTCTGGCCATTTCTACAGTGGTAATACCACATGGAGGTATGGTACAGCAGGCTATCCAAAAAATCATCATTGCAGTGTATTTGCAAAAATTAACCTATGCTGTATCTCCTGTAGAAGGATCAAGTAAGGTGGAATTTGCTTTGGAAACTAAGCTTTTAGTAATGATACTATTTATAGAGTGTATTTCCTTATCTTCCTCTGTCTTTCCTTCAGTGACTACAGAGGCACAGTCAATTAAAGATGCACTTGGGGTAAATTTCCAGGTTTTTGGACAGCACAACTCTGCAAGTTTAACAGGGTTGTTCCATTAAAAACAAGACAAAAATCAAGATGGATTTTGCTACCTGAGAATCTAATGTATTTATCTACATCCTTTAGGTCCTTTACAGAACAACTGAGGAAGATTTCCAGAGATGCAGGAATGCCAATCCAGGGGCAGCCGTGCTTCTGTAAATACGCGCAGGGAGCTGACAGTGTGGAGCCCATGTTCAGACACCTCAAGAACACTTATACTGGGCTGCAGCTTGTTGTAGTAATTTTGCCAGGAAAAACGCCAGTCTATGGTCAGTAAGTGCAAATCATGAGCATGTGTGTTTCAGTCACAATTTCATCTATTTTTTGTGAGGTATCTGAATGAGAGAAGTTTAATTTTGGTTTAACTATTAAACTTTCATTTAGGGAATGGGTTATAAATTAATTTCACTCTTGTGCTGCACGATGTTTTATGTTAAGACTGATTATTTTAATTATTTTTGTCTACACTTTTAATTTGCTTTTTTCACATTCTTTCTGTTCGTTGAATTTGAGATGTACTTTGTGAGTGAAAAAGCTAAACCAGGGCTTTTGTGTAATTGATGAAATCGATATGCAATGGATTAAAATATACTTACTACAATTTGTGTGCTAAAAATTCCAACTGATTGAAAAAGTAATGACCTCAAGAACTGTGTACCTTTTAGAACATCTTTGCTTACTCATGCCATCACCCTTTGGCAAAAAAGTCGAATGAAGGCAATTTCTGCCAACAGATTTCCCTTTTCCTCTTTCAGTTTTTTGTAACTCTTGGGTTTTGACAACACAGATGCATAGAAGATGAAAACTCAGCAACTTAAACTGTTTTTTGGAAACAGATTGACAATTAGTGCATTTTACACATGCACATAGATTTTAATAAGTTTTAGATAAACCATGCATTTGGGTTTTAACTAGCTCTTCCTATAGGCAAGACTACCCATTTTCCTATCCTGCCTTCCCCTTTTTTTCACTTACCTTGCCTAATTACAACACCATCCACTATTTTTCTCCTATAGCTTCATGGACTCTCTTCTCTAATGGCTCAGGTCTACCAAGCAGCTGCAGATTTGGTTTCTCCCATCCTTCACCAATTTAATACAGCAGAAAATAATTTCCTAACTTCCTTTTCCCAAGATTATCCTATATAAGATAAAAAGAGAGATTTAAAAAGGAACCTTAATGAAATAGTACTTTTTTTTTTCCCCCTTGAATTCAGCCTTGCAAAGGAAGTGGCTCATCTCTAATCTGTTCAATAAAAATTCAACACAAAATGACATTTTAACTTTTCCTGCTTGGCATTAGAAGGGGACTTTTTCCTCTGCATAACCACTGGGAGGATGTGGTACAACTCTCATCTGCTTTCCTTGTCATTATCTTTAATTACAGTTTTGCCCCCTGTAATCATCTCTCTTTATTTTCTCCCTGCACTCTTCCATACTCTTGCACTTTCTATACCCACAATCTTGTCTTTTCTCCTTTTCTCACCCTGCTCCTCAAAAAGCCTCTTTCCCCTCCTGTTGCCAAAGGGAGGTGGCATTTTCTCTGAGCCTGTCTTGGAAGTGAAATTTCTTCTTCTCCTGAGTGTGAGAGTATGGCTCTCTTAAAGACATAAGTCTCAGTTGTGCTTTTAACAATAGAATTTGTGTTAACCTTTTGAAGAGTACAGTTCTTGATTGGGGTTTTTTTTGTGAAGTTTTTATGGGCCACCCTTTGCTAAACTGGCCACTTTTTATGCAGTTGATAAACTGGTAGGCTGAACATTACTCTGCATGTTACTATAAAGTTTGTGTTACTAGTCCAGTGTTTAATAATGAAGCAAGTTCTCATCATCCTAATATCACATGACTTGCTTCGTTAGTCAAAAGGTTCTTCTGTGCTAATAATAAAGCACTATAATTCTAAAATTGTAATTAGTGTAATTTAAAAAAGAAAATCTTAGTTAAAATAAACCAAGAGTGCCTTTAGTTATATTTAGGACCCAGTTACTGCCCTGTCAGCAGGTGGAGCAGCACAGAACTGGGAGCAGGTTTGTGGGAGGCTGAGGTTGGGTTTGGGGTTAGGTTTCTTCTTGTTTCTTTAAGCTTAATGACCAGTTTGCTAAAACTTGTCACTAACTTTGTAGTTAATTGTCACCGAGTTAATGTCTTCTATAGCATTTGGTTTGCAATACACAAATATTTTTTTTGTTTTTGTTTTGCAGCGGAGGTGAAGCGCGTTGGAGACACTGTGCTGGGAATGGCTACGCAGTGCGTTCAGATGAAAAATGTGCAAAGAACAACACCACAAACGTTGTCTAACCTTTGCTTGAAAATAAATGTCAAATTAGGAGGTGTAAATAACATTTTACTGCCACAGGGAAGGTAAGCCATCTTTCACCGAGGAAGAGGTTATTGTATTGTAAAGAGAACACGCGTCATATTAAGATAACTGGGCGCTTTTATCTGTAGTCGTAGCACTGCAGTTTAAGTGACTTTTCAGACAAACTATCTTTTGGCTTCTAATATAAATGCTCCTGCAAAATTTAGGTTACAAAGACAGGAGAGGAATACTTGTTCCAGTTGAAATTTATAATAAAAATACTGTTATTACAGTCTGACCATTGAAATACATAACTTCCATTTGGATGAAAAATTTGTAATACTTCATTTACCTTGAGTTTTCAGAAACAAATAGAGACCATCTTGAATAGTAGTGCCTTTTCCTTTATAGTTTAATTGTGGTCAAGATTCTTCATTTTGTTGTATGCCTTAACTTACATAGACATTTAGAAAAACACAAGTTGGGAGCTGGAAACAATTGGTTTCTATGTCCAGTTTACCTTGCAGCTTATTAGAGTTACATTGATAAGTTTTAGTTATACTGTGATTATATTCTGTGAAGTTGCTTTGATACTATCTGTTACTTTGATTCCATATCTGACATGTCACTGAAGTCCTGCATATGGTTGACTGGGAGTGAAATAAATATCTCCTTATTTGTAAAAAAGGTGGGACCCTGCTGCTAAGGTCTAAATTTGGTTTGTGTATCATCTTAAAACTATTCATCTAAAAAAATTATATAATATATATTAAAATATAATCTAAAAAATTATAAAGTTCTTGAATTGAAACTCCATCAGTTTTATTGAAAACTCAGTGACAAGAAGTTCTGATGGAAGAATGAGCAAAATACAGCTTAGTTTGTCTTGTGCAAGACAGAGAAGGCTAGCATAACGAGAGAATGAACAATTAGGTTTCTCTGTCAGTAAAAAAGGTGGCATTTTTAGAATCATTGCATTTCAAGTTGAAGAAAAAGTTCAGGGGATAACCTGCTGCATCATTCTTGGGAGGCTGTTTAAAGGAAGTCAACATTCTGTTTTGTGCAGATAAGCAAATTTTCACTTCGACATATTTAAGCTAGTCAGAAGGCAGCTGCTGAAAAATAATTCATCAAGTACTTAGGGACAGGAAAAAAAGAACACGGTATCAGAAGGGATTTATATTTTGTGTAACTTGTCAAATTCCGTTTATTGAACTAAATATACTCAGCCTGCTTGTTGGACACTCCTATTAAAGCAACTAAAACCCATCCTGTTACAGAGCATGCATTTCAGAAAAGCACAGTGGGTTTTTTGTTGGATTTGGATTTTGTTTTTCAAAAAGGAGTTGAAGATACTGCTGTGGAAACAAAACAGAAACATGCATACCATATAAGTAGTTTTATGCTGGATTCATGAATATAAAGTCTCTGATAGGTGGCGTGTGTTGACAACAGTAATGTGGCCAGAAGTTTGAATTCCTTTCATTATACCAATAAACAATGCGTTCATGAAAGTGGAGTTAAGTAAAGGGAAAAAAAACCATGACACAACTACACACAACAATCTAGGCATTCTGCAAAAGTGTGGGTTTGGGAGACTTAAACCAGAAATCTTTAGTTATTATTTTCTATCGGTTGAGGGGATGGGAGTAGAATAGCTTTTTATTTGTATAATTACATTGTAAGTTAAATTGTTATAATTGCCTTCAAAGTCCTTTTTAGAGAAGGTCTGAAAACAGCTGAATCTATGTATATAACCATTCCCACCCACATACACACAAAAAAAATTCTGGTGGCCTAAGATTTCCTGTTTAAAATTGTTTTATTAAGGAATGGAACTGAAATTTAAAACTTCCAGTGTAGTGTTTTGGTGTTCCACTCTTGAGGCAGTGGTTTAGTATCTTAACTTAAAGGTTAGTTTAAAACTTTGAAGCGTAGGGTTTTTGGGGAAAAAAAAAAAAATAAAAAAAATCTACTTTTAAAGTATTACCTGTGATATTCACAATTTTTGTACTTAAAAAACATCAATGCTGGATTTTTTCTGCAGAAACAAAATCATGATATCTGTTTATGTGCAGTCCTAACTTTTGCAGATGCTATTTGATGCTAAGGGATCTTATTCTTTTCTATGGTCTAATTAATGAAGGCTGCAGTTCTCCAAGTTATAAAAAAAAAAAAAGTGTGTTCTTTGTTTTATTAATTTTTAATAAAAAATAACAATTAGCTATGCTTTAAAAATATGCCTATTTAGTATGAGAACCTTAATCAGGATTTCTAATTACTGTCGTGGTACAAGTGACCAACTCTGATCAAGTTCAAATTGTTGCCTAATTCATCTCAAGAGTATAGAGTGATACTTGAGTTTCAGTGCGCTTTATTAAGCATAAGCCTTGCTGCTCTTATAAATTTTCTTTCTTTTTATCAGACCACCAGTATTTCAACAGCCTGTCATATTCCTTGGTGCAGATGTAACTCATCCACCAGCTGGAGATGGAAAGAAGCCTTCCATTGCTGCAGTGAGTAAATTGTGTAATGATCTTCAACCCCTGCTCTCTCCTGTTGCTCAGCTCTAATGCATTTTATAACTTCCAATTCTTTTGTGGTCCGTTTGTTCTGATTGCCTAATTATAGTATTATAAATTATTTTTCTGCAGGAATCTAATGAAACTTTGGAGAGCTTGATACTCTGATACTAATTACTTAAATGTGTATTAGCATGTAAAATGCCTGAGCTGCTAATACACAGAGGAGCTTTTCTATTAGCTGATATTTATCAGTAACCTGTAATAAGCTGGTGCATGTTTAAATCTGCTTTTTCAACAGTGAAAAATGTTAAGAATTTATCCATTACTGATAGGGAGGTAGGCTGGCTTAGTTGTGGTTTTTGGGGATTCAGGCTTCCTGACAACACACAATGTGCAGTACTATTTTGGAAATGTACTCCATAATGCAAGTCAAAGGCCATTCCCTGAATTTATGTCCAACAACTGTAGTAGCTGCTCTGGCTTATTTAATAATGACATCTTTGGTGACAGTATCTTAGCCTGTGGTGCTAAACAAATACCTGTTTTTAAGCTGCACACATGTATCCAGGGAAGACCAGGTGGAGATGTGCTCAGTTGTGATTTTTGACAAACGGAATTTGGATATTTTTGTTTTCCAGTTTATTTTTAAGTCCCATGTCACTTTGACAATATATGAATTTTGGTGTTTCATAAACAGAAAAATCTCTTCCCTTGGCACATGGTGTCTGATGTGAATGTTTCTGTGGTGCCTCACCATTTCAAATTTATGGATTCATCCACAGTGTCCCAGAAGGGGACTTGGTCTTCAAGCGTTCAAATTCCTGTGCTTCAGTCCTACTAAATCAGTGGTTTCATGGTATCAGTGCTCCAAATTGTATTTGTTTGGGGTTTTTTAACTGTATGTAGGTGCAAATAGGATATCAGTCTTTAAAATATAAAATAAGTTCACTGTTGCAGCAGGATATGTTACCACAGGTAGGACTAAACTTGGTAGACTCTTTCCAAGCCCACTGTGGTATTGACTGCATCTTTGCTAGGTCAACCCCTTAATTTACAAGATACTGTTAAAAAGATAGTGCAGTTATCTTAGTGAAATACCTTTATTAAAGTGCTTTTAAGTTCGGTATGATACCAAGCATTTTTTCCACAGGTTGTAGGAAGCATGGATGCGCATCCTAATCGATACTGTGCCACTGTTCGAGTCCAGCAGCACCGCCAAGAAATCATCCAAGATTTGGCTGCCATGGTTAGGGAATTGCTTATTCAGTTCTACAAATCAACAAGATTCAAACCAACTCGTATAATCTTCTACAGAGATGGTGTTTCTGAAGGACAGTTTCAACAGGTTATATTTTTCCTTTTGAGATTTTGATTATGTAGTTTTCTGGTAGTAATTTAATTTTATGTAGTTGGGGTTAGGAAAAGAAGTATACCCCGACAAATCTTCCCTCAACAAATTTGTTGGCTTCTAACCAAGCAGAACAGAGAAGAGTTTTCATATTTTTCATGAGCTTTTTTTTTAATACTTTGCCCCTTTAAAATACTTCCCTTTGCAAAATTACAGAGTTTTAGCACTCAAGTTATGTTCATCTGTGACCTACTTGATATATTAGTTAAACTGTATGTTGTAGAACTTGAACAGTAAAGAAACACTTAAGTATAAGCTAATTTTCATATTTTTTTCAACCAGGATTAATAATTGCTACGTTTTCACACTGTCACTTTTAATTAATTCTTGATAAATTCAACAGATACTTTCTTGTATTTGTTTGTTTACAAATACCATACTTTATGAAAAATTTTTGTATATATTTTAAAGATATTTGCATATGCTTTCCTTTCCAGTATTTTTGTATGTAAATTAAAAGGTACACAATCTAGTCAACTTCTCAAAATCCAAGGGGAGGGGAGTAAAGGTCACTTAGTAAACTTGAATTACTATAATCTTTGTGTGAACTTTTGATTCCCCCCCCACCCATTTATCACTGTTTTTCACTGAGTTTTTAATTTATAATTAACCCAAATCCCAAATCATTGCTTTCTGTTTAATGCACTTCCTTCTGTCTTGCTTTTTATTGATGTCTGTAGTCCTCACAAAGCTGGGAAAGAGCAGGCAGTTGAGCAATCCTGGATTTCATCCCTTGTGCTAGTCTGAAAAATAATTAGGCCGTTGTATATTCAATGGCCTAATTAAATGTTCATTTGTATTTGGCAGTTAAAAAGATTTTGACATACAGCTTATTAGTCTAAGCCTCATGCTTGGAGCTGAACAAATATGGAACCAGCTCTTGCCTGGCTCAGGAAACTGGTGACCTAATTTGTTCTCATTAAGTGAAGAAATGAAGGTTTGATCCTGCATGCTTTGACATTTCATTACTCTGAGTGACAACGCAAGAAGGAACATGATAAATACGAGTAATCTGTAAGATAGCTATCTTTCACATTTATCGTAATCTTTATGTTTATCATGCAGGTTCTCCATCACGAATTGCTGGCTATCAGAGAAGCATGCATTAAACTAGAAAAAGATTACCAGCCTGGAATTACATTCATAGTTGTGCAGAAAAGGCACCACACCAGACTCTTCTGTACAGATAAAAATGAACGGGTATGTTTGAGTTGTGACCAGCAAGTATCTAGCAGGCAGCCAAGTTACCTATGGCTTTCTGTTTATTTAAGGAGGAATAGACTTGTTTGAAGAACTACTAATATAGTGGATGAGATCTCTCTACCTGGAAAGGAAAGCCACCGCCTTCTCTCCCATATAATAAACTGTCAAGACGCTTTTATGAAACATCAGCAGGATGTGCCTTTCAACAAGTCTGTCCATCCTTTTCTAGGTTTATCAAAGTTTCCAGTGTTCTTTTCAGTTTTTTTACTGTCTCAGGGTCCTCAAGGGTTGAGATTGATCCAAATATTGTAGGGTTTATAATATAGATGTCTACATCTGGGGCAGTTACTTCAGACACTTTGTGGTATGTAGAGATCTGTTTAGTATTCCCAGCATACTTTACAGCACATTTCATCTGTTTCTAGCTCTAGTAAGTTCACTGGTTTGGTTGCCATTGAGTACAGGGTGAACTCTTGGATTACCAGCTGAGATGTAGACACTGAAATTGTTAGGTAAGGTGAACCCATCACTTGGAGAATACTTTTTTTCCATTAACACTACCTTTAAGGTATCTTAGGTGTCTGTTTTAGGCACAGAGCTTGGTCTGGGCACATCAAGTGTCACAACACATTATTTATAGTACTGAACACCTCAAACTGTTTTTGAGTGTTTCACAGTTGTATCTATGTGAAGTACATGTAGAAATATTTAATTCCACCTTTCTCGGTGGCAAAGAGACTCCTGAAGTCTAAGATGGAGTCCTTGCTGTAAATGAAAAGTTCCTAATTGCAAACCTCTGTTCACAGATACAAGTTTTTAGTGTTCTTTTTCCTCTGTCACGCATTCTCTGTGAGCCACTAGGCTTCAAGGCAATAATTAATAACTTTTAATGCTGATGTGAAGGTGGTTTTCATATTGACAACATGCTATGATCACAGTTGTTCAATTGTATTCAAGTAAAGAGCATTTTTAAGGTCTGCTTTGAAGTAAAGTGTTTCTGAGGGAAGAAGCGGCCTGTCTTACATCTATGGATTGTCCTCTCTCAGGTAGCAACAAAAGTTACAGAGGAATATTACCTCTCCTAGAATGGGAAGGTGAAAAGAAGCTGACAAATCAGTTGCAGGAAATTATTTTTCTATTAATCAGAAAAGCTAATCTTTGTACATAACCTCTAAGATTATTTTGCAGCTCATACAGGTTTTTTCCTTCCTAGTAGAGACACTTCAGATTTTTAGTCGAACAAAGCTTCAGTTTTGCTCATTCTTTGTTGACTTTTTGCTTTTTATAGATTTTTTTTTTTTTTAATCTTGTCTTCTGCACAGCTGAAAAGAAAAAAAACTTGTGTGCCTTACTATATTTGCACTTTCTGTTCACACAGGTTGGAAAAAGTGGAAACATTCCAGCTGGTACCACAGTGGACACAAAAATCACCCATCCGTCAGAGTTTGACTTTTACCTGTGTAGTCATGCTGGTATTCAGGTACAGCATTGTGTGTGGGATGGTTCAAAGATAACACTGGCCGTTGGTACTTCCCCTGTTCTTTGCACAGGTGACAAATGGTACAACTTCCATCTGTGTATTTCAGCTTTTCATCTGTGCCATCCACGGTGCTCTTCTGTCATTGTTAAAATCTAAAAGAAGTAATGACACTAAACAGCTATGAAGCACATTAGTTTATTGTGTTTCTCTCCTGTCTGTGTACTGCTTTGAATGGTAGCAAGGTAGTTGGACTATTTTACATAGCTGCCTCTTGCTTTAAATTATCTTTAAATGTGTATCCAGTTCCTAGGAAACAACTAATACATTTAGGTAGCACCATTGTAGTTTCACATTTTCTTGTGATTTCTTCTTTCCAGTCAGAAACAGAAGCTATTAAACAACAACAGTACTGAAACTAAAAATCTAATACTCTCAAAAAAAGCTCAGTCAACAGGAGCACAAGTTAGATTGCTGTTAGCTATTAATGTTTTACCTAAAGCTACTTTTGTGTGATGGCTTTTTGTCAGATCTAAGTTTCACAGGATGAAAGCACTTTCCAATAAGATCATTTAATTTCGGTAGCAGGGGTGAAATTCTAGAAAATGCAATCCTATCCAAAAATGCAAAGGGATTAGTTATATGGGGAACAAGGAGGGAGGGAGGTCGTTTGCATTTTGTAAAGGAAAAATGTGCTGTAATATGTAGAATCGCTCCTGTGATTTTTGAGGATGTGGCTGTTTATACTGCAGTTCACCTGCAGAGGTGGAAATTTTTAAAGAGATGTTTTTGAAATGCTGATGTCCTGTGTGATCTGCCTTCAGGGAACAAGCAGACCTTCTCATTACCATGTCCTCTGGGATGACAATCGTTTCTCTTCAGACGAACTGCAGATTCTCACCTACCAGCTGTGTCATACGTATGTACGCTGTACTCGTTCTGTTTCCATCCCTGCACCAGCGTATTACGCACACCTGGTTGCCTTCAGAGCCAGGTATCATCTGGTGGATAAAGAACACGATAGGTGAGTTACATAGTCTTGAATTATTACAGAATTTTAAAGGATGCAGAAAGGAAGTGGGTTTGTTAATTCTGGGGTCAGTAGTTAGCAGTCCTCAGTTAGCAGTTTGAGGGTCAGTTTGGCCTTGCCACTGAACTATACTCTGGAAAAAAGCAGAAGTTGTTCCTGTGTGCTTCTGTGCTTTTTTCCTGTTTCAGAACTGCAGTGGTGTTTTAAGGGTAATTAACTTTTGAGCATCCGTTCAGAAGAAATTAATAACAGGAAAACATTGTATGCAAGGAGAGGCAGATTAAATATGAGGGTTTCTCTTCCCCCACACCCCAACCTCTGTTTTTTTTCCTCCCACCTCCCTTCTCTTTCAGTGCTGAAGGAAGCCACACTTCCGGTCAGAGTAATGGCAGAGATCATCAAGCACTTGCTAAAGCAGTTCAAGTTCATCAGGACACGTTGCGCACTATGTACTTTGCTTGACATGTTTTAATGTTTAGCGACTCAGTACAATACAGAGTTGGATTCACATGAGACCAGCTGCACTTAGACCAACAGTTGCCCAAGCTACAGTGACAGCCAGCAATGAGTGATGCATCTTAATGTTTTTTTTCTTTCCCGTTTGCAAGAAAGCCTTCCGTCCAGAATTTCAGACTTGATTATGAACTGCATTCTTGTACCAAACCCCACTATTGTTGGAAATGTGGTTTGCCAAAAATCTCTAAGCTGCTTGGTATAAAACAGACCCATATTTTATAATCAAGAGCTGTGATCTCAGGGCTTAGGGAAAAAAACAAAAAACCAAACAAAAACAACCAAAACCAACAGCCCAACCCACAAAACTCGTCATTCAGTTTGCTATTCATTGAATTGCTTTTAATAATTTGGAAAGATCTAATTCATACTAAAGTTTGATGAGCTAAAATGCTGTGAATTACCTTTTAATACAAATGAAAGCAAGGCATTATTTATGAAGCCTTGATTATTCTAGATGCATTTACAAAATTTTTATTTTCAAAAGCAAAGAGTGTCAAAATTCTGGTTTTCAACTGTCTTATAAAGATTATTCTGTGTGTCTAAGGGCAAATGTATTTTCTGAAGCTTGTTCTTGAATGTTTTTTATTGTGCTGCATTTGAAAATGTTTTTCATAGACTAAAGAAGAATTTTAAAACAGAATGAACCTAAGCTTTTTGATAGGTCCAGTTAGATTGGCAAAAGAAAATGTGCCATTAAAAAAAAAATTTGTAAAGAATTTTTTAAAAATCATACTGACAGCTAACTTTAGAATTTGTCATACAGGACTGTGACATTTGCTTTCCAAAGTCTCTAAAGAATACGGGTCTGTGGTGATAAATACAGTACAATCCTTTTTCACTGTTGTTTGAGTTAATGTAAATTTTATATATGTTTCACAGTATTAATGTGATAGACTAGACGCTATTATTTATTTTTATTTACTAAGGAGTGCTCATTATACTTCTGTAAACATATCAAGAATGCTTTGGATCTAGAAATTAAAACCTTATCGTGGGGGCGTTACTATTCAAATGCAAAAAAATATGCAATTGACTTTGTGAGAGTTCAGAGATACATACAGTGTATATTGTGTAGCTTGTAATTTGTAGAAAGTCTTCTTGGGTGTGCACACAGCATCGCAGGTTTTGCCTGTGCAGTTCAGAGACGCACACGAGACCAACATTCTACGTTCATTCAAGCACAAAACAATTGTACTTTATTTATATGTTGAATATTGGTGAAGCAGAAGCTCTAAGAGGAGAGTGGCTCACTGTAATTTAGACAAAAGTCAGAGAATCTATGCAGTAAAGATAAATCTTAGGAAACTGAAGTTTACTTATGAAGGGAGGTGAAACTCTCTTCATTATGCATAAGGTCAATAGTAAATGTGAGAGTTTTGCCATTCTCTTAGGAGAAGCATTAATTAAAACTCAATTATTAGACAAATGCTTCTGTTAGTTTGCACACTGGGTTCATTAAAAAACCATCATACATATGTAAACCATTGCACTAATTACGATGCCACAAGCAGGTTTAGAAGAAAATGGAAAAAGCCTAGAAGACTTGTTTATGCTGACTTGCTTTTGTTTATTTTTCCATAGGATAACTGAAATAACGTGCTAAGAGGCAGGTTTTCAAAACTCCATTGTCTTCCACCAGTTCATTTTGCTTCGTCTTTTCGCTTTTTTCTTAGCAGATGCTCAGTCACTGTTTTGAATACATTTACCTCTAGCCATCTGGGACGGGCGAGTAGCTTTAACCAATACAGAGGTCTGTGCCATATAGCAGATAGACTCTAACTGGTTGCTGTCGAATAAGATAAAAAATGCTGCATAAAGAGTTTTAGGTACATAACTTTGTGCAAGTTCAGATCTTCACCTTGTAGCAGTGTGTTGGTCGTCGGTGTTGTTTAGGTGAAATAACAATGTAAACCTGTTTGTAGATTGATTGTATTTGTATTATTCTAATTCGGTGATTAGGCTGCTGGGTCAGATTTTCTTCTTGGTCATAGTTATGTAAATCCAGATTTTAAATTACGCTGGTATAACAGAAAGCTTTCTGTGTCCCAGCCAGGTTGTACATACCTCCCTAAAGTACCGCTGAACTGCAAAACCTTTCCGTGGTGGGTGTGTTGCACTCCTCTGTGCATTTGTTTGAGAGGTTTCATATTTCAGTGAAGATTTTAATTTGGCAGAGTTTTATATAAGAATTATTTTTTATATGAATTATTCTTATCAAATAGAAAAAAGATCAACCATTTTAAGACGCCATTTAGTTTATTTGCTGTTTGTTATGTAGAGACCTCTTGGATGTGAAATTCCTCCTCCTCTTTCCTCTCTGTGCAGATCTGGAATCAATGACTTATACAGGTGATCAGATGGGGTGAGGAGGGCAGAATCTGTCTTGACCTCAAATCTTATTTCTGAAGCAGACTGTGGGACTTCACTGCATCCTATTTAGGATGTATTCTTTGCGCTGAAATAGTTGTTGCAGCTCCTTTTTGTGAGAAAATTTGTATTAGGCAGACTCTTAATCTGAGAGCAGCTGCTGTCTGTGTATCCTCTTGGGATGAACAGAAATTTTGTGTAGCTTTCCTTCCCTGAGTATGAAGACTTGGGATGGTTATATGCATTTCAGGCTAGGGACATTTTTTTACCTTTTACACATCTGTATAAGCCTCTAATACTACTAATTCTCCCTCCTTCCCTACCCTTTCCCACCCCTGGCAAAGTGGTGAATTAGTGAATAATTTAGAGCATTTTTCAAATATTAAGTTTATATTTTGAGAAGTACAGCATGCTGTAAGTCCAGCAGCTATCTATCTGGGAATATTTTTAATATTAATTACATATTTAAAAAAGGTCTCTTGTCAAAAAAAACCCACCACAAACACCTAAAACCCTACTTTTTTTTTTTTTCCTTACCTCCCATGTGTCTTGTAAGAACAGCAATATCTCAGGTAAACACAAAGCTCAAGATGTCTCTCTCTCACACACATTCCTGCTGTTGAAGTCACAGTTGAGGTTGACAGTTATAACCACTAAGTCACTATGCAGCTCAGGTCAGCAATAACCAAATGTGCGTTACCCTCTGGCAGTTGTTGGGTGTTTATTTTTTTCAGCCTGTGCAGTGGAGTTGTGTGACTCCCGCTGCAAAAGAGCTCTGGGCAGGACCTCGTCCCCTGCCTTCCTCTTGCTGTCTGTAACATTCCTGGCAATGACCTTTTGCTTGAATTTGGCCGTCAGCGCAGGCGGTCCTGGTGCTTAGCAGTCTGAAAACTGATAGTAATTCCACCCTGGTGACAGAACTATGGTATTCCCATTGCAGACATGGAGCTGTGCTGTGGACAAGCTGACCACTGCCAGAACTGCAGTATTTCTTTTGTTTTAAGACTGTGCTTGAGGTGAACTGATATTAGGGAGTTGCCTGCTGTGGATTAGTTTTCTCTTGAGTTTTTATGGAAATGCTAACACTATTGAAACAGGTTGTAGAATCTCTGTCTTCGGAGAGGCTCAGACTTGGCTGGCCAGGTCCCCGTGCAGTCTTGGCTTGCTGGACCTGCTCTGGGCAGGGGGCTGGACCAGACATCTCCAGAGAGACCTTCTGAAGCATGTGGTTCTGTGGCAAGCCCCAAAACCTAGCAGCAGCAAGTGTAAAATTCTCCTGTAGGGAGGTAAAAAATAATGTCGACAAAGATAAAATACTTTAAAATTGTCTTTCTTTTTATTAATGTAGAAGGAGGTATAATGCAATAATTCAGGTTGCTTAGTTTTGGAAATTTCTGCTCCAGTGGCTCAGTTTTATAACATGTCCACTCTATCTCTTCCAGCACACAGGAAGCTGAGTTGAGTCACTCCTTAGGAGGAGATATCTTGTTGTGAAATGTTGGAAGGAGGTGAATTTGTCTCTGCCTTACACAAGTTTGGCATTCAAGATAGCCCTATGCAATCTTAACACTTTTAGTGTGTATATATGCACTGATGTATGGAGGATCACTTATTTTGGCTTGGTTTGCGTTAGAATATTTTGGCAACCCCGTTTGGCTTGCTGAATTACAATCAGTGATCTTCTGTGTTACAGAAGCTTTGACATACTAATTTCCTTGTTTGTAGATCTGTCAGGTTTTGGGTGAGTTGTTAGGTGTTGTGTCTTCATCTGCTGGAGCCAGCATGGAAAATTTACAGGAAACTTTTATGCTTAAAACAAGAAATCCATAATAAATATTTTTGACCTTCATCCAGGCCTCCAGGCAGTGTTCCCTGATTGTAAAAGCAAAAAGGTTGTGAAGTTTTAGCTTTAATTCTGACTCTGTCAATAAGTCCTGTTCACATGCTAGTGGATCATTTTTATAACTAAGACAAGAGATAATATTTCCACAAGGATTTTAAATTTAAACTTTTGAAGAGTAGGTGTGGGTGTTTAGGTTTTTGTGTTCCCAGGTTATTTTCTCAGAAGACTGATGTTCCTAATCGAGTTTAGATGCTTCTGGTGTTTTTATCTGATGTCTTATGTGTACGTGCACAAAGGCTTTCTGTTAACTAGAAGATTGTGATCTGGAGGGCTTTGCACATTTCTGCCGATGCTGTTTCCTTTACTGTAGCAGTAGATTCCTAAAATACAGTGGTCGTGTGTGTCTTGCCTGTAGAACCCCCAATCTTTCTCATGCCAACAAATCTCTAAAATTTAACTGAGAGCAAGGATAGGAGGAAGGGCTGCGTTAACACCCCCCGCCCAACTTAGTGCATTGGTTTAGGTTTTTTAGTGTATGTGCAGATTGTTTCTTTTTGAGGAAGAATGTTGATATTTTGAAGTGAGAACAGGTTGGTTCTGCAGGTCATGCTTATTCAAGACTACAAGTACTAGAAATGCAGGACTGGGAGCTTTGGAGATTTAAATGGGTGTACTTGTCTCTTGATGTAATCTGGGAAACATCTCTGGTGGCATAAATAACCCATAAAGGACTTTTTTTTTTTTTTTTAATAATTATTTACGCATTAAATAAAAGAATGTAAAAAGAATACTTGCTCAGTATTTTTCACACTCAATACCAGTGTAATAAAGTAACATTTTTTTTCCTATTTTTTTAATGCTCTTCTCCTACAGTAGCATCTCTTTTTGTGTATTTCTCCTGCCAGTGTGGCTTTCTCAATTTCTGATGCAGGACAGTACTTTTTTTTTTTTTTTTTTTTACTTTTATATGACATTTGGTAACATGCTTCTTGATGCATACATGCAGTCTTTTCTAAGGAAAACTTCAAGTAGAAGGTAATTGCACTGAAATATTTTTTTTTAAACTCCCTTTTTACTGTAAGACTTCTTTTTTGCATCTGCTGTAGCTGTTTGAAAATACTGTAAATAGTGCTGTGTATAGCAAGTACTGAAATGCTGTGGATACCATTCCTTGTTGTTCTTACATTTTTAGGAATACTGCCATATTTTACAGTACTGAGATATGAGTTTTGGTTTTAAATGTTGTTATACTTTCTGTTTGCATTATGGTATGAATCCAAGGGCACAGTTGCTTTACTACAGCAGAAATGTTTAGGGTTCATCTGTATTTATAAAATATTTCTTCTTTCTCTCTGTGCATGTTTTTTCCCCACACCGTAAAGATACAAAGACAGTTTTTAAGCTACCAGTGTGTTGATGTCTGTGCAACGTTCAAATGCCAATCTTTGATATCGCTGTTAGATGACTGATATCATTAATGTAACATCTGGACTATCAGCTGTAGCTGTCATACGTTTTCCGTGCTTCCTCCAGTATCTGATTCCGTGTCATATGAAGAACAACTGGTCTGTGTGGCAGAATTAGTGGAATAATAGGGATTTGGGATCCAAGTTACAATGTCTTGCTCTCCGTCCCTCCAGGGGTGTAGGATTGTCAAGTGCAGCAGATGTTTGTGCTCTGAACTAAGAGTAGTGTTGCCTCTCTGATTGCCCACATGAGAAAGCTGTCGATCTCCTTTCCATCAGTAGTTGCATTTTTTGCTTCTGTAACCCTCAAGGACAGGAGAGACCCAAACTCCAGCCCCATCATCTAGCGTTAGGATGTGAAACAGCAAGTTTTGCCCCCTGTTTCTGGGGGTTAATGACTGGAAAGATGCATTCCTCCGCGATGGTTTTAATCCAAAAGGTGTGCTTGGTGTGGCACGTCATCAGTTTTATCTCATTTAGTGTGTTTCAGTTGCTTTTTCTGTGTTGTGTCTTTGCCTGAAGTGTTAATATGAATGTAATGCCTTGGCCAAATCACTACAAAAGGTGGTTTTGTAAGTGTTTTAGTTAGCAAGCAGATGCAGTTAAAGGCTACCTCCTGTATTCCTCTGCAGACAGATGAATTTTTAAAGTGAACCTACTACTAAGCAGCCAAAATGCTTCCAAACAAACTGTATTTTTACTGCTTTGTTTCTTCTGGAGAACTAGCGGTGCCATACTGTGATCTTGGACAGCTGCTCCTCGCTGCTTCTGTCTTCCTAAGGTGTAAATGCAGCCTGTGCTGACACACGGTATCGGCAGTGGGGAGGCACATCTGGCACGTTGGCTTTTGTGCAGGGTTACCTGATAGCAGCAACTCCTTCTAGAACCTGTCCCTTCACTCCCTGAGTTTGTTTACTGTTGTTTCCAAATGAGAAATGTTTTCATACTTTAGCTGTTGGCTGAAAAATGTCATGCTTTCACTGAAAATGTTATGGAGGTTCTTGAAATATATTTTGAATTTGAGGCAAAAATTATGTATCGGAATATTTTTTTTAGATAAGTTGACAAGAGACTGTAACAGTGAAAAAACTATATTCCCACTTAGATCATGATAAACTTTAAAATGGGGGGGGGGAACGACACCAAAAGAAAATGCCAAACCCCAACCCCAAAGTATGTTCATATGATGAATATTTAGTGTCAGTTATGTGCAAAGCCTTGGCTGTAACTCAACTTTGAAATAAGTGTAAGCAGACTAAAGGTGCTTTAAATGACCTGAAATGAAACTGTAGAAAACTGTGTTATTTCATCGTACTTGGTTTACAGTGAAGCCAAACGAGCTTCCTCATTTTATAATTAACCACTCTGCTGACAGAAATACTACCTGTTCAAGCACAATGCGCTGGTGTGGTTTCATAGCAGTGTTACAGGGGTTTTTTTATTATGTAAAACTAATCGGGCTTTATGCTATGGACGTTGGCATCTCAGAAGCAAGTTTACTGGGGTATTCCATGCTACCTGCCATTTCATTATCTTAATCTTTGGGCATAGACACTAATGAAGCTTATTGATGGCAGGGAGGATTGCTGAAGTTCTGACTTTCTGGAAGCCAGTTCTTGTCGAGCAGTGGTGAGTGACTGAAGAACTAAGCCAACTAACAACTGAACGGGGTAAAATCCCCAAAATTTTGCTCAGTCCTCAGTTATGATTCAACAGAGCTCTCACAAAAACCATGAAGTATAAGGGTTTTCCTCTAGGGCAGACGGCTGCTTTTCAGAAAATATTTCACTACATCTTGTATTACAGATTCATAGACACTATTGAGGTTGCTGTGGCCTGGAAGGGGTTTCACTGTGCAGGCGCGCTGAACGCGCCTCCCCATGCTCATGTTCTTATAAAATGACAAGAATAATGTTGTATGCTTTCTAGATTAGGTCTGCAAACCCAAAGGAGCATCGGAAGGTTTAAGCAAAGGAAGAACCCTGTGCTAGGGGCTTGTTGTGGCGACATGGAAGAGAAATGCCATCCGTGCTATGCCAACTACCCTTGTGGAAATGAGATAGGGAGACAAGGGAAAACATTTTCTTGCAAAACTGCTAATTAAGCACTTGTTAAGGTGACAGTTAAATAATACTCTCTTGGTTTTCCTTCTGGCTTCCCTGAGCTGTGGGACAGCCCTTTGCTGATCCCCCACCCAACACGTGTCTCGGCCCCTGCCCCAAAAGGGGAATGTTAAAGGCAGTTCCCTCGAGCTGGCTTGTGGTTCCAGCCCTCCGTATGCAAGGGCTTTGGACTTGGCTGGAGCAAGAACAGGTGTGTTTGCTGAATTTGGAGGTGTGAGAGGTTGGCGGGAGCTCGTCCTGGGAGCTTTGCATGTGGCAGTGCTAAGGAGGTGGACCCGCAGCACAAGATGAAGGCTGGCTACTCCCTCTCATCTAAATATCCTCAAAAGAGTAATTGCTTTAAATTTGTCCATGGACTGCATCACCAGATGCATCTTAAAACTACCTGTGGCTACTCTTCAACCAACCAACCTAGCTGTGTTGTTTTGAAGAGCCTTGTGTTTGCATTCTAAATCTGTATTAAAGCACATTTTCATTTTTATATGGCTGTTATGAGTACATAGGTTTGTTTTGGGTTCCCCACACACACACACACACTTTGGATGTGCTGTTGTGCTGCTCTGCCTTAGTTTTGCTATTTTGTTCCCACTGTGTCTAAGCACAACTAAAATACCTGCTGGAATAACTACTGTCTCATCATCAGCAGGGATTACAGATACTGACTAACCTGGGAGCAAGCCTACAAATTGCCCCTGAAATACAAATTTAAACTTTTCTGACCATTTTATGGTCTTTTGAGTGTGCTTGCCTAGTGTGAATTGTGAAGAGGTCAGCAAGCAAGCTTGGGAGTTTCTAATCCCCTGGCTGGTGCTCTTTGTATTTGCTTTGTTGGGTTAGATTTCCTGTCAGGAAAAAAATTACATTTAATGTGGACTCTATTCTGTATTTATCAGCTTGTTCTGTTTATGAATCCATGGATAGAGGAAGCTTCACTCATGCCAGTATATGTAAAATTGGCCATTTTTGCTTGCCATGTACTTGACTCAAAGCAGATCTGGTCTGTGCTTTATCGGCACCTCAGAATCTCAGCTACTTGATCATATGCTGTGGATAGGATCAAACCTGGCCTGCAGCAACAGAACATACAAAGAAGTTTGCTTCTAGATTTCACCAAAGTTAATTCTGCATCAACTGATGATGAGATGTTCAGATCCCACTGTTTCTCTGCTAGGAAAAAAAAAAAAAAAAGAAAAGGTATATCACCTCTAATTTTGTTATTCCTAGTATGTTTTCTCGTGGAGCTTAAGACTGAGCCCTTAAATTGCTGATCACATTTACAAGTGACAACTTTGTAATTTTTATTTTCAAGTAAATAACATGTCTCTTAACTGCCTGACCAACTTGAATCTTTAACTGATATTCAGTTGTCCGTCAACATTGAATCTCCAGAATGTCTCCCACCAAGAGATTGTTGCATTTTTCCAATTCTTTATTACCTGGTTTTGGGCAGTAGAAATAATTTGAGTACATGGGGAGGAAGGGTTAGATATTATGTGCTT